CTGTGCTTTAACCCGCTGCGCCACCAGGGAGGGCCTATACTGCCTTAATTTTTAAAAAAGATTTATTTATTTATGCATACAGAACTAGGGTATAGGCCAGAGGTGCAGGGGTAGTTGAGAGGATTCACCAGAGACAGAGTGGGGAGCAGAACAGGCAGACTGACGAAGTACACTGCTGAGGAGAGCAGCGGGTGGGTCAGGAGCGGTCTGCCACATCATGTGGGTCACCTCTGGGGTGGTGAGCGAATGCATGCTGAAGTGGCTTTAGCTTCTTACTGCTGCACTTTGACCCACTGCACCACCAGGAAGAACCCTATACTGCCTTAATTTTTAAGAAGTACAAATAAATGAAACTTCCTTTATTTTGAGTGAATCAAATGTACAGAATGAAATACAATAACAAAGACTTAGAATGCATAGAATGTCTAAACAGTACCTGTTAGTAAGAAGCCTTTCTACCCTTTCCTTTGTATACAATCTTATTTAGTCTTCACAAAACCTGCAGTTATGAAGTTATGGACATTGAGACTTAGTGTTATCTAAGCTTTCTCAATTCAAAATCCTCCTTTGGAGAACACATGTAAGCTCAGCCAAGGACTTAGATATACAATACTACTTTTACAATTTTGTACCTATGTAAAGGAAGAGACTTTCAACAGGCAAATAGCTATAAAACAGATCATGGGAAAGCTATAAGCAATGATCTAAAAGAATTCATAAATTGGCTTACAACTGACAGGGATATGGACTTGTAATTCTTATTTATTACTAAGGTCAAATAATAAACATTCTAAAGTTAGAATTTGACAGGGTTGTGAATCCAGGTTCTACAGGCCCTAAAACTTAACATTTTCTGGGAAAGTTAGAAAGGGAAAATGAGTATGGGAGAAGAAACAGGAATATAGGCAGTAAATTGAGCTGAGGCAGAGAGAACAGGGGTAAAGAGGAGAAATGTAGCTTAGAGAGATAATCAGCCCAAGAGCATGTTAAATCTTGTAGACATGTAAAGAACTCCATACTCTAGTTTAACAACACCGAATTCATAAGAGTTCTAAGTAAAGTAGGAACCTGACCTAACTTTAATTTTTAAATAGATATTGTGGCTACTAAGTAGAGAATTATGAAGGGAAAAAGAGTCTAAGAAGGCAGACCAATTGTGAAACTATGCATTATATTGCACTACTGTATTAAACAGTCAGGTATTAGATAAAATTCAAAGTAGAGAGTCCAGGCTTGTATCAAATTTTCCAGCACCATACTCTTTCTCCCACTATCAACAGCCAATACCTGAGCCAATCATATCTACTTGATCAGTATGCCAGGCTTTTCATTTAATGTTCATCTGGATAGGTTTTTTTCTCCCTGGCCAGATACTTTCCCTGTCTAAACTACTACTGATGTGTCAAGAAGTCTTCTGTAAAATATTCCTTCATTTTCCCTTTCTATGCTTAAAAAATACTTTGCACCATTTCTACTATAATATTTATCACATCTACAGTAATAATATTTAAATAACTGTCCTCCTTAATAGGCTGTAAACTTTTCTACAGTTAACTCATCCTCATAAAAACAGAGGGATGTAATACAATCTTATTATAAATAATAAGATAAGCTCAAACACCTTTGGAAATGATTTTCCACTTAAGTAATTTTAATTGCAAAACCCTAAATAGTTTAACTTTCTTTATAAGGGAGAGAAGAAAATTAATAAAAAGCAATACCATCATAGCTGATTCTTAACAGGGATCAAATTTTTACCCTTTATTAATAAAAACTTGCAGTTTTTTGGCATTTTAGGAATCTACTATTGATAACGAGTCACAGAATTCAAGAAATATTTCTCATCATAAGTTTTTGTAAAGGCATAAATGATTACTCTCAGGTACTTGACAAACCTATTACTTAACTATCTCCACAAAAACTATTGTGTGATGTATTTCATACTGCTGGTTTGAAAGTTAGATTTTTATAACAAACAAAAAACCCAACAGATTATAACTTACTAAATCCATTTCTTTTTTCCTTCTTTTCTTTCTTTCTGTTTTTGCTACCTGATGGGAGAGAAATACAGAAACTGTGATATAACAAAGATTAATTTACTTTCTTATTTCTTTGCAAATACTACATTTTTCTCAATAGAGAAGTAAGCAGCTTTCTTTTATTCCAAAAGAGTAAATATGCAGTGCTAGTAAAATAATATGAATTTTTTTTATGTTTGGTAAAAACACAGAGATCATAAAACAGATAGTTTTTTTAAAATCTCAGTCCTGTCCAGAAGTCATGCCATATTAAGTTATTGTTTTATTTTACTAGTTGTTATTAATTTTAAAGATCACAATTTACATTTTGGTTATAGAAAACTCTTAATGCCAGAGTTAAATATAAAATGTTATTATTTGGGACATGAAAAGGTCTTTTACATATGACATTTCCAAATAACCATAATATAGAAAAATCCAAAGCTAACTTAAAATTTTTAAAAAAGGTAATAAAGCCTAGTAAGAACCTTCATTGTAAAACATAAAGAACTTAATCTAGTTCTAGAACAGAAGAACTTCCAACGATTTATTTACATCTTCAAAATGAGTTCACACTGACAGTAAATTTAAACAAATCTACTTGATCAGTACGTGAAAAATAATCAATAAAAAGTATATATCTGATACTTAGTAATAATTAAATACCTAATTTTTTACATGGGGTGCTGAAAGGAAATACATTAATAATTTTGTGTAATATGGATTTCATAAAATTTATTAGCACTAAAACAAGAATTGAATAAAATATCAGTGATGAAGAATTTAATTAAATTATTTGAATTCCACTTTCTCTGTCCTTAAAGTAATAATATTAACTTTATGGTATACTAAAGTGTGGTAAAGTCTGAAATACAAAGAGCTATGAAAAACAAAACAAAACAACTCTATTAGCACTCTTTCCAGCTTTTGCTGCTAGTGTTTAACAATCTGATTGTTTGAAAACAAATAAATAAAATATCAAATACCTACCACTTAATGTGATTACTATTACTTTATATAGATTTTTGGAAACACACATTTCCTCAAATCTAATTTAGGAGAAATATAATTTGTGGATCCTTACCTAAAGGTAAAGATGATACAAAGAATCACATCTTTAACCATTGTTTTTCAAAAAAGAAATTCACATACTGGCCTCTATAAAAACTGAGGATATAATGTTGATGACACATTATATTTTAACTCAGCAAAAAAGTATTAATTGCAAAAGGTTCAGATAATATGGTCTCATAGTTTGTAAGAAAGAATGGAGTTTGGAAGATCTACAGTCATGCTAAACTGACATGCTTACTATAATGCTTTTCACATATCAGTTGTCCCAAACAGACTCTGCAAATATTCATAATTGAATCCTTTTAGAAGTATAAATATACTATATTTACCTTTGTGGTTATGTAGTCTGAAGGCTTGAATTCATTCATATATTCATCCAAAAACACTTTGAAAGTATTGACCCAAACTCTGACTGGAGATTCGCTCCAATCACGCTGCTCTAGCCTCATGGTTTTTTCAAGAATCTGCTCAAATAATGCATAGAGGTCTTTATAACGTATGCTTTTCCCATCATCCATCTAATAGGCAATAAAAAAGAAATATAAGGTTTTATGAAGAAATATCTTAAGGAAGACTGACTCAATTTATACAGAATTTAGTTTAAGGTTTTAGCTTCTGATATATTTTCCAGTCAGTATGCCTAGGAAGTACTATTTATAATCTCACAGCTACCTGAGTATCTGCAGAATAAAATGTGCTATATTTTAGTAAAATACTTAAGTTTAAAATGTGTAACAATTTGATGGACCAAAAAAGAAGGCAGGAACAGTAGTTGTAGTTCCATCAATTACAACATACTTCAAATTAAAAAAGGTGAAGAGACTTAGTCATGACATTATGACTAAGGAGACAATTATCAGGAAACTATGACCCTCACCAACATATACTCATGAAATGAAGGAGCACCAAAATATATCAGGCAATTATTATCATCTCTGAAAACAGACATTATAGAAAATATATACATACAGTAGGAGACTTCAACATCCCACTCTCACCATGGATTGATCAACAGGACGAAAACATAAAACAAGCACACTAGAGCTTTAGGTAAGGACCTAGACCTTATAAGCTTAATAGATATCTATAGGACATTGCATCCCAGAAAATCTGAGTATGTATTTTTTCTAGTGCACACAGATCATTATCCAAGATTGATCATATATTGGGTCACAAGAAAAACATCGACTGATAGTTTAAAATCAAAATCATACCAACTATCTTCTTTGATCATAAAGGCATCAAACTAGACATAAATCATGAAAAGAAAGCAAGGAACCCACCCATATCATGGAGGCTGAAATCCACACTACTAAAAGACCATTGGATTGATGAGGAGATCAAAGAAGAAATTTAAAAAATACTTTGAGACAAATGACAATAAGGACACAACTTTCCAGACTGTATGGAACACAACAAAAGCAACACTAAGAGGAAAGTATATAGCAATACAAGCTCACATCAAGAAATAAGAAAGAAATCAAAGAAAAACTTAAGTCTCCCAACTCGAGAACTAGAAAGGGAATAAACAACAAAAGAAAATCCCCAAAAGTCAATGTAAGAAAGGAAGTAACAAAAAATCAAAGCAGAAATAAATGAAATAGAAATTAAAAAAACAAAAAAATAAAATAGACAAACCTCTAGCCTGGCACACAAAGAAAAAAAAAACAACACACAAATAAGGATCATAAATAAAAGTGAAAAAATTACAACAGACTCAGTAGAAATCAAAAAATAATCAGAGATTACTTTTAACACTTATTTGCAAACAAGTTCAACAATCTAGAAGAGATGACTGATTCCTAGAACTATACTATCATCCAAAGCTAGGCTAGATAAAGAGGAAATTTAACACTGAAACAGTTCAGTTACAAGCAGTGGAAGTGAAACAGAAATCAAAACACTGCCCCAAAACAAAAGCAAGAGAGCTTCACAAATGAATTCTACCAAATGTACAGAAATGAACTAGTGCCTATCTTGCACAAATTCTTTTAAAAAATTGAGAAAGAAGGAATACTATCAAGTATGTTTTATGAAGCCAACATTACACTAATACCAAAAACCAACAAAGACAACACAGAAAAAGAAAACTACAGACCAATCTCTAGTGAACACTGATGTAAAAATTCTCCAGAAAATCCTAACCAACAGAATCCAACAATGCCACAAAAGGATAATACACCATGACCAAGTGGGATTTATTCCTGTGGCACAAGAATGGTTTGATACTTGAAAATCAATGAATATAATATAACATATCAACAAAAAGAAAGGTAAAAACCATATGAACATATCAATAGATGTTGAGAAAGCATTTGACAAAGTTCAGCATCCATCCATTTATGATGAAGGTCCTCAAAATTCTCAGAGTGGAAGAACATGCCTTAACATAATAAAAGCTATCTCTCACAAACCCATAGCCAGTATTATTCTTGGTGAAAAGCTGAAAGCCTTCCCATTAAGATCAGGAACAAGAAACAGATGTCCACTCTCACTACTGCTAGCCAAGGAACAAGATAAAAGAAAGACATACAAGGAATCTAAATGAAAAAAGAAGAAGTAAAACTATCTCTATCTGTAGTTGATATGATAATATACATAGAAAACCTTAAAAACTCCAAAGAAAAACTAATTAAAATAATAAACCAATTTAGTAATGTAGCAGGATACAAAATCAACACAAAAAAATCAGTAGCCTTCCTATAAGCAAAGAATCAATGTGAAGGAGAAATTAAGAAAACTATCATTACAATTAAAATAAAATACTTGGCAATAAACATAAAAAAGGAGGTGATATAAAGAAAATTATGAAACATTTTTAGAAGAAAGAAAAGATGACACAAAGAAATGGAAAGACATCTCCTGTTCATGGACTGGAAGAATTAACATTATTAAAATGGCCATCCAACCAAAAACAATGTATAGATTCAATGCAATCCCAATAAAATTCTCAATGATTTTCTTTAAAGAAACAGAGCAAATATTTATAAAATTCATATGGAGCCACAAAAAAAAACCTTAAAAAGCCAAGCTCTTCTAACAAAACAGAAAAACAGCAGTATCAGACTCCTAAATTCAACTATAATACAAAGGCATAATAATGAAAACAGTATGGAACAAAACCAGGCACACAGACCAATGGAATCAAATAGAAAAAACAAATAAAACCACATATATATGGAGAACTAATCTTTTGATAAAGGAACAAAGAATATGCAACAGAACATGGACAGTTTGCTCAATAAATGGCACTGGAAAACTGGACCATCACATGCAAAAGAATGAAACTGAACTACCACCTAACACCATGCACAAACCCAATTCAAAATGGATAAAAGAAATGGACAGAGGACATGAAACCATAAAATACAAGAAAATATAGGCAAAGCATGACATACATGTCAGTATATCTTTAAAGACTTTTTCTCCAAAGCAAAGTAGTAAAGGGAAAGATAAAACAGCTGAGGTTACATCAAACTAAAAAGCTTCTGTACAGCAAAAGTGACATTAATGAAAACAAAGAGACACCCTACTGATTGGGAGAAAAAAAATCTATGCATACCATACAACTGATAAGGGACTCATCACAAAGATCTACAAAGCGCTCACAGGATTGAACAAAAATGAAGTAAACAACCCACTCAAAAAATGGGCAGAAGAGCTAAAAGGACATTTCTTCAATGAGGAAATGCTAATAGCCAAGAGGCATATGAAAAAAATGTTTAACATCACTTATTATCAAGAAAATGCAAATCAAAGCTACAATGAGATGCCATCTTACACCAGTGAGAATGGCTCATTAAAAAACTAGTAACAGGCCCTCCCTGGTGGCGCAGCGGGTTAAAGCACTGCACTGAGAAGCTAAAGCCACTTCTGCATGAGTTCGATCCCCGCCTACCCCGGAGGTGACCACATGGCGCGGCAGACCTCTCCTGACCCGCCCGCTGCTCCCCTAAGCAGTGTACTTCGTCGATCTGCCTGTTCTGCTCCCCACTCTGTCTTTGGTGAAGCCTCTCACCGCCCCTGAGCCTCTGGCCTGTACCCTACTTCTGTATGTACAAATAAATAAATCTTTAAAAAAAAACAAACAAACAACTAGTAACAAAAAATGTTGGTTAAGATGTTGAGAAAAGAGCTCTCCTACACTGCTGGTAGGAATGCAAACTGGTCCAACCACTATGGAAAGCTGTGTGGAGGTTCCTCAAACTACTAACAATAATTCCACTCCTAGAAATCTACCTAAAGGACACAAAAACATTAATTCAAAAGGACACCTGCACCACTATGGTTATTGCAGCACTATTTACAATAGCAAGATATAGAAACAACCCAAATGACTAAAAATAGATGACTAGATCAAGAAGATGTGGTATGTATGTACACACACACACACACACACACACACACACACACACACACACACACACTGGAATGAATATTACTCAGCAATCAAAAATGATGTACTCATGCCATTCGCAGGATCCTGGATGGAACTAGAAGGGGTTATGCTCAGTGAAATAAGTCAGAAGCAAAAAGTATCAAATGGTTTCACTTACAGGAGGAATATAGGGGAACTAAATAAAGTGATCATGAAAAAAACAATCATTTAATAAATAAAGAAAAAATTAACAGACAACTATAAATCAGAGATATTGTGCAGGGGAGAGGCTGGAGAGGGAGCAAAAAGGGGAGGGAAGAGCACAAAGAACTATGGTGATTGTACATGGGTAGATTGGTGGTTGGAATTACACTTGAGAGAAGAAAGCATACATTGTACAAACAGGAAGGATAACAAAATATATGTAAAATAAAAGTATAACAATTTGAGCAGGTGCAGGGCAATTCTCTTTTCTTTTTTTAAACTGTATATAACTATAAAGATTATTTGGATGATTGGATTCCTCTTAACTATCTATCCCACGAATGAATACAGTTTAGACAGAGCCACTCTAAAGCTGAAGGAGTAAACTCTTGAATATATTCCTAGTGATAACACTAGCTAATTTTCTTTGTTTTACTTTTCTAAAGTAAAGTGCTATATACCTAGAATACCATATTATTTCCCAAAATAAAATCTCACGGAATTCCTGTTAATTTGTTTAAACTAGCTGCTGAAATCTGAGAAGAGATTTTTTTTTTCTTATGTGACAAAAGTGCCATCAAAATTTAGCATTTATTTCTCTTTTACATTTTCAGAATTACAAGTTGAACTTTTTTGACCCAGGGCTTGAAATGTTAAGCTCTGTTTCATAACACTGGCTCTTCCTGTGATTCAAAGTGTAATGGAGGATCCGACAACTGTCATTCCCAAACTGGAAATGCAGCTGTGAAGCAGAGAAAGAGACGAGGTGATAAGTTGTTGGGCAGTCTGGGAAAATGTGGTCAATGTTGTCCCTACCAAAACCTAGACATTTGCCAGAGGGTGATACTTCTTAATTATGGTCTTGAAACTCATGTTCTCACACTGTATTATTCCTGTTTTTAAAAGGTAAAACACCTTAGACTGAGAAAGGAAAAGAGAATAACCAATAAGCTTTTCTGATTTTTCTTTTCAAAATGAATTATAGATTGAAAAAATCAATTATATATATAATCATTTTGTGGAATAAATATGACAATTCATAGGTACTAATAAAGACTACATATCAAAACATTAATTTATATACCAGTACCAAAAATAAGCTTTCTAAATTATGATGAATATCGCTGAAACAAAATGTATAATGCAAGATTAGAAACTAAAGCTAAAAGGATCATGAAAAATAAAAATAGTAAAGAGACCCTAGGTAAAACAGAATCATACCCACAATATCTGAATTCAGTGTCTTAAGAAGATGAAAATATATCCAGGGGACACAAAGAAATTCAAGGAAGCTATTGATGAGAGGTATGCTTTTCCTTATCCATCTCTAAAATAAAGGGGAAAAAAGGGAGAAATCCCTAGTTGAACATAACCTTTATATTACCTTCTAAAGCACTGCAAATTGCCTTTCATGTGCTGGCCAAGTAAGTATCTCTTAACAAGGTCCAACTTACCGCCAATGCAGATGAATAAAAGTTGAAGATATTTTGCCGAAATTCTTTCAGGGCCTTTTTAAATACAACATCCACTAATGTATCATTCTTGCTATCTTCATTATCTAAGTCATTCATCTGGGGACCACAGAGAGAAAGAGTTTTTGTATATAATCAACTAATTGAAAAGAGGTGAATGTAACAGTGGATGTACATTGTCTGTTCAACAAGATTGTCCTAAAAGTGCAAGCCATTAATATTATGGGATCCAGGTACTCAGAAGGGACTTCTGAGGTCCCTTACAACACTGGTAGCTTTGCTACCAGAAAAACAACTTCATGTCTACAATGACAATTTTCACTATCACATGAATATTACAGGACAGTCACAATAAAAGTAGAAGTCAACAATAATCTTAAAACCTTAAATCCTGTCTACTCAGTCTAAGGCATATTCTTTTTTTTTTTTTCCCTTTTAAAGATTTATTTATTTATGGATACAGAACTGGGATACAGGCCAGCAGTACAGAGGTGATGAGAGGATTTACCAAAGACAGAGTGGGGGGCAGAACAAGCAGATCGATTAAGTACACCACGGAAGGGAGCAGTGGGCAAGACAGGAGCGATCTGTAAGGCGTATTCCATGACAGGCATCATTCTGGTAAAGAACAGATTATCTAATTTACTGAAGCAAATATAACTATGATCTCTGGAGGGCATTTTCCTGATATAATGCAAGTGCTTCATAGTCACGGACATAACTCAGAAAGCAAAGTGTACCTTTTTCAGAAGAAATTCATCCATGCTCTTTAAGTCACTGGCACTTGCTATGATCTGAACAGAGTCATTTTGCCAATGTGTAGACTCCAATGCCACACTGCTGATCTTGACATTTCGTTTGCGCTTTGACTTTGGAGAAGGTTCTTTGTTCTCTTTGAATTCCTTCCGGCAAGTGCCAGGCAATTCTGGGCTCAAAGGAGGTTCTGGAGGTAATTCTAAAATTCAGTGTAAAAAAAAAAATCTGTTAAATTATTGAAATTTCCACATCCTTCTTTTTGAGCTCCTTTTATAAGTCTTTAACAGAAACAAGCACAAATATCTGCAAATCAAAGTAACATTAACATCTGACACCAGGCAAGATAGGTAATAAATCCAGATTACATATTTATCTAGAAACTATATTTAATAATTCTATCTTTTCAGTGGGAAATGGTATCATGTCTCCTAAGAACCTGAGTTCTGACACTGAAAACCAAGACAGAAGATTTCATACAACTGAAGCCTAAATCTCAAAGAAAACCAAGGAAAGTACACAATTACACTATCATATTAAATACTGACCTATTAACCATTAACCTAGTCATAACTTTACTCCAGCAATTTACAGTCTAACAAACCATTGAAGTTTGAGTACTATTATTACTAGGGTCTAAAGTCAGTCATATCACCTGCTGTAGCCTGGCAACCCTTTAAGGAGCAAGGTAAATCAACTGGTTCACTTCTGGTTAGATTTCTTTAGCTTTTAAGATTTCCTTATACATCTCCCAAGTAATTATTTGGACTTCTCAGAGAATTTCTGGAATTAATTGGTTTTGTATATATGTAATATTGGAAGGCACAACAAATTTCCCTCCTAATTTCAGCTTAAGACATTCTCTAGGTAAAAAAAGTGGAAAAAAAATTTCTGCTATCCTAAAATACAAGAACTGACGGCCAAGTATTTTCTATCATGCAAAATTATTTATTTAAGTAAAGATGCAATAAATGTCTTCTGGCACAAGCAGTAGTGGAGTATGACACCAACAGACTTACTCCTCAAATAACATTAAAAGGAGTTCTTCCAACTATATACCAGAGTGGGGAATGGAATCAAAAATGGCAGGGGAGGGTAAGTACATGGGGCTATGGTGATGGTGAATAGGTGAACTGGTGGTGGAAGCCCACAGGATTACAACTGAGATGGAAAAGGGCACAAAATGATGTAAAAATAAACTAATAAAAAAAAGGAGTTCTTCTAAAGAAAAGATAAACTGAAGCACAAACTCCTTAGCAAAATCGCAACAGCAATACAGCACATTGGCCAGAACAATCAGTCAATAACAAAATATTAAGGGGGAAGAAGAAAAGGCCAACCAACAGAGTTCAATGTTAGAGAGCAAATACCAGCTCATAAACCTAAAGTATATGAATGATTTCAAGTAAACTCCCATGGTAACCACTAACCAAAAATCCAGAATAGACACCTTCAGAAAAAGTGGAGAAACCCTAAGGAACGCCATCCAGAAAGAGTAGAGAGAAACCAAGAGAAAAAGAAACAGCAGAAAAATAAAACAATCAAAAATCAAACCCAAAATAACTGCATTAAATTCTGAATTAGAATTAATGTAAACAGTTCACATTAATAATTGCTATAAATGTAAATGTCTGAATTCACAATAAAAAGACAGTAAAAAGACACCTAATGATATAGGTGAAAGAATTCCAACCATCAATACTTTGTTAGTAAGAGACCCATTTAAAACTGGAAGACCAAAAGAAAATAAAAATAATAGGTTGGAATAAGGTCATACATACTAATAAAGAATAAATCAGGAACTGCCACTTTCATATTAGGAAAGCTAGAGTTTTAACTAAAAAATATAAATCCAAGGATATTATATAATGGTCAAAAGGCCAATTCACCAAGAAGATGTAACTCTTAATTATGTTACATATAGGAACATTTAATTAAATACACCAATTATTAATAGACCTAAAACAACATATCAACAAAATCATAACCATTGTTGGAGACATCAACCTCACACTGACAGAAAGGGATAGTTCATCCAGAGAGAAAATTAACAAAGACATGAAGCCCTTAAATGAAGAATTGGATCAGATGAATTTACTGGTCATTTGTAGTTTTCCAGCCTAAAAGCAATGAATACATTTTCTTCTCCATTGCGCATGGAGCATTTTCAAGAATAGATAATATAGTAGGACATAAAACAAGTCTCAGAAAATATATGAAAATAGATATATATGAAGCGTCTTTACAGACCACAGTGTTACAAAGTTAGAAATTAACCATAAAAGGTCACCTAGAACAAAACAAAATATATGGAGTGTGGGTCTGCTAATCCTAAATGGCCTGTTTGCCCACCATTTTTGTTAACCTGCAGTTCTGCATTTCTATACAAGATCAGAACTGTCCAATCAATCAATCATAGAAGCCTAACCTTACAAGGTACCTTTCAAAAAATGTCTTGCTGATAAGATTGGAACCATGGGCAGAGGTCTGGGGTATGGTTTGCTTACAACATTTGGTGATCAAGCAGATAAGAAGTATTTGATCAGCAGACTAATGTCCCCATGAAGCCCTAGATGACATAAACACATTTTCAGTTTGACCCATTTTTTTCTCCTTGCCTTTCTACCCCATGTAACTGATGCTATATAATTATTCTATCAATAAAAAGGCCAGGAGCTTGCTCATTCAGCAGTATCCTGCACTGAGTAGCCTGTTCCATGTTTATCCTGTTTATCCAGTGTGGTCTTGTCAACACAACAAAGAAGACTAAATAAAATGTCCTCCAGAATTATTGGGTCAATGAAGAAATCAAATAAGAGATTAAAAAAAAAAAAAGTATAGAGGTTAATGAAAATGGAGAGAAAAACTACCAGATCCTATGGGATGCTTAAAAGCAGTACTATACAGGAAGTTTATAGCAATATAGGCCCACATAAAAAAATTAGGTTTAACAATCTAATTTTGCAATTGAAGGAACCAGAAAAGCAACAAAAACAGCAAAACCCAGTAGAAGGTGAGAAATAAATGAAACAAAATGAAAAGAGTTCAAAAGATGAGCAAAACTAAGTTAATTCTCTGAAAAATAAAAGTGACAAGCCATTAGCTACACTTAAGAGAGAAAACCCAAAATCAATAGCATTAGAAATTAAAAAGGTAAAATAAAAAATGACTACAGAAATACAAAGTGTCATAGGAACTTATTATAAAACTTTCTATGCTGACAAATCAGACAAACAGAATTGAGCAAATTACTAGATTCATATAACTTCCTAAGACTGAATCAGGATGAAATAACTTAAACAGTCTAATCGTAACTGCTGAAATTGAAAGTAAAAAGTCTCCCTAGTAGTACATGTAAGGGGAGAAATGAAACATACACAAATGAGGAACAATGTAAGAAAATAAAAGTTTTTTTAGTAATATAATACTTATTTTTACATCATTTTGTGCCTTTTTCCATCTCAGTTGTAATCCCTGTGGGCTTCCCATCACCAAATCCCCCGTGTGCACTTCCCTTCCCCCACCATTTTTGATCCCATTCCCCATTCCACCCCCGTAAAATGTCTCTGATACATAGTTGTTCATTATTATTATTACTTTCTCCCCTGGTCTTTCATACTCCTGCTATGAGTGAAACCATCCAGTGTTTTTCCTTTTCTTTCTGGCTTATTTCATTAAGCATGATCTTTTCCAGCTCCATCCATGTTGCTGCAAAAGGCATGTGTTTATTTTTTTTTGGTTGCTGAGTAATATTCCACTGTGTATATGTACCATGTCTTTGTAATCCAGTTATCTACTTTTGGGCATTTGGGTTGTTTCCATGCCCTTCCAATTATATATAAAGCAGCAATAAACATGGGGGTGCAGGTGTCTTTTTGAATCATTATTTTTGTGTCTTTTGGGTAGATACCTAGAAGTGGAACTGCTGGGTCATATGGAAGCTCCATTTTTTTTATAAAAGTTTTTTTTTTTTAAGTCTCCCTAAGAACCAAAGTGCAGAACCAGCTGACTTCTCTGTGAATTCTATAAAACCTAAATAAAAACTATCTACTATTTTTCCTACTCAAATTCTTCAAAAAAATCAGATGGGGAGAACACCCCACCATCATCTATGAGACCAACATTACCCTGACCTCAAAATCAAACAACGATAGTATAAAGAAAGAATTATAGACCAGTATCTCTAATGAACATAGAAACAAGAAATCTCAACAAAATCCTAAGAAACCAAATAAAGCAACATATCAAGAGAATCATCCATCACACTCAAGTAGGCTCCACCCCAGGGATACAGCTTGTTTCAAATATGCAAATCAATAAATGTCATCTAGCTGACTGGATTAGAAAGATGTGGTACATATATACAATGGAATATTACTCAGCAACCAAAAAAGAGAAACACATGTCTTTTGCAGCAACTTGGATGGA